CCCCAAAACCCCAAAACCCCAAAACCCCAAAACCCCAAAATGTAAAAATTATAAGATATATTATGATTAAATAATTTATAGATTAATTAAATGATATATAAATATTATAGTGAACACTAGAAGTCAATTAATTAATAAAATGGGAGAATCAAAAAGCTCTTCAGAAAATAGCAATGAAGATGTCTACATCAAGCTTGGTTTCATCCTCTTCATTTTTATTGAAACTGTTTTATTTGGAATAATACCTTAAAGATGGAAGGCGTGCAGGAATAATGATTACTTCTTATCCATTGCTAATTGTTTCAGTGGAGGAGTATTTTTAGCAATAGCATTTGTGCATATCATCCCTGAGAGTACCCAGATATATTACTAGTATAAATACACCCAAGAATTCTTAGACAGTGATATAACTCTCAAATTACATCAGAGATATCATGATAATATCCCAAAACTATTAGCTCAAAGGAAACTTCTTACTTCTACTAGAGGAAATCAAAATGTGACAATCACTATTAATGAGCTTTCAGATATTGTAAGTGATTATATTGGTGAAAGCTATGAGAACTTCCCTCTGCCTTTCGTCTTAGTATTCGCTGGATATGCTTTTATTTTACTACTTGATAAAGTATTGATCGACAATCATGCTCACAGTGATAATGATGATAGCCAGAATCAAGATGAAGACAACCCTTTCTATTCACAACCATCAGAGACAGCCTCTCCATCTCCACTGTTAACAAATAATTCAAAATAAAAGATGGTATCATCAAATATTTAAGACTAGTACAAGGACATAGATACGTATATTTAGTATGAAGATTCATAAAAGAAGAGATTTAAATCGAATGAGGAAATGAATATTACCTCTAAGATGCTAAGACGAAAGAGCATTTAAGAAGACATTAAGTTAAGACAAGACTTCAAAAAATTGGTCTCAAGGAACGATAAACTATCATCCCATATGAGTGCATTGATCTAAGATCGTAGTTCTAATAAATAGATTAGTAATAGACAAACTAAGAATTCTAATCTATTTAAAAGTCTTGATAATGTAAACTCTAATGTGAAGCATTATAGCAGTAATAAGGCAACAAGTGGCAATTTTTCATAGGATTTTAATGGATAGGAAGATGCTGCATCTAGAGAAAGATTAGATACTATTTCAGAGTAGAGTTCAGATAATCAAAATGAGAAAGATAAAACCAAAAATATCAATACTAGTCAAGATTAAGTAGAACATGTGCACAATCATGGAACATCATGCCGTGTATATCTATAGTCATTGGCATTATTAATAGCACTTACAACTCATTCAATATTCGAAGGAATAGCTTTAGGTTTGATATCAGATGTTGCAGGAATGATTAATATAATGCTTGGCTTAATTTGTCACAAAGGTCCTGCTGCAATGTCACTTGGCATTTCTCTAAGCAAAAGATTTAAGTAAAAGTCTGAATAAAGAAAAGCGATTGTTCTAATCATCTTGTTTGGGCTAGCGACACCTATAGGCATAGGTATTGGAATGCTAATTAAATCGACTAGTAGTTTAGTTGAGGTCCTTTTCAATTCATTTGCTGCTGGGACTTTTATATACATTGCAGCAAGTGAAGTAATTGTTGAAGAATTCAGTATACTTGGGCATAATAAGTGGATTAAAATGCTATTTTTTGTAATTGGAGCTGTAATAATTACTTGTATGTGGCTTCTCGAATCTTGAAAATAGTTTGAATTTAATCTAATTTAATACTATTTATTTAAACAATTTTTTCATGAATTCTAACATAAATTCTGCAGGATGGGGTTTTGGGGTTTTGGGGTTTTGGGG